CCCATAACCCTGCTTTTTCAATTTTAGTTCATTTTTCGAAATATTTGCAAACACCCCCAACTTTTAAAAATAAGCACTTAAAACTAACTTAAATCACAATCACTAACTTCTGCTTTTAAATAATCATTTGCAAACACCACCTTAATATAGTTGTTTAGTGATGAAATACACATTGTCACATATTTTATTGTCACTAATTAATATTTTTCTTGTAGTGTACAAGGGGATTTAATGCAAAAAATAATTTATTTGTTTAAATTTCATATTATTTTCAGAAATTAAGTTGAACACATTTATTCAATTACAATATCAAAAATAAAAATTTAATAGGTGTGGTGAATGTTTTTTAAAAAAAAATCAATTTTTATATGATATTATTAATGTATGAATTTTGATTTTTTAAATTATATAATTATTTTATTAGAATTATTAGATATGTTTATAATTTATTCTTGATTAATTATATGTGAAAATAATATAAATAATTTGAGAATTCGTTCCAACTTCAATCTCGAGTATTATTTTCTTAGTTTTCATATTTTAAATCAATAGAAATATTCGACTTAATTTAAGAAAATAATATGAATTTTAAATGAATAAATTAATTTGCATAGACCCAATGTGCAAAATTATGCACCAAATCCTCCTATGTTACAAAAAAATTACATAAAACCCCCTCTATAGTTAACGGCGTTAACTTTTAACGGAAAAGGGGATTTCGTGCAAAGTATAATAAAACACAAGGGGGTTTTACGCAAGAAAAAAAAACACGGGGGGATTTGGCACAGGTTTTCCTTAACACAGGGGGGGTTATGCTGTTTACCCGAAAAATCATAAAATAACTATTGGGGTGCATTTGGATGGAGGGATTTGGGGGAGGTATTTCAAATCCATAATAACAAATCCCTCGGACTTGTTTGGATTGAAGGATTTGGAGATGGATTTCAAATCCCCACCCCTCCTTTTTAGTTGATTTTGGAGCAATAGTGATGGATTTCAAATGACTCCAAAATTGGAGTCATTTCAAATCCACTCCCCAAATCAAATCCCTCCATCCAAATGGACCCTTGAAGTTCATACACTCTTCTTACTCTTAAAGAGTATGTGATTTTGTAATTGTTTTGCATTCGTTAATTCCAACGGCTCTTTTTCATCCGCTTCTATTTTATTTATTCTTTATTCTATGTACTTAAAATTTGAAATTCAAATTGCAATTTTCACTTGCTGGACAAATTGATATGTTTAAACGTGACCAAAATTCCCAAGCCATCTTTCAGGAGATGAAGTTTATTGAATGATCAGGCATGCTTGAAGAATGTGGCCGATTCATGCTTGAGAAGATTCAGGTACGAAAATTAGTATATGAGTTTTAGATTGTGAGTTGGGCCGATTTCCGGCGTTGACTTTGGTGGAGTTGGCGTTAATAGAGGTGGTTTGGTTGTTAAATTTCTAACACTGTGCACGATAAACCGAATCTATGACATCTTTTTAAGCGAACTTCGGACGACGCAACCTGAAGTTTGTATTTGGAACAAGGTTAGGAGTTGTGTGTGTTGTACGTATGGTTGTGTTTTGCCTGGCTGGTTGTGATGGTTCTCCCACAACAAAGGTGTTCACATCATTTTCATGTTTGGAAGAGGCCCATAGAGCTCGAAGCTCCGTGAGGACAACTTGGAGGGTGTTATGTATTAGACGAAATTGGACTAGTGTCGAACTAGAATTTCTCTAACCTCCGCACGAAATTGAGCATCTGATTTCGTACGTGCCTTCATGGAACGTAGCGGCGGTTCTGATACCATTGTTACGTGGTAATTTAAATAGAATAAATAATTTAAGCAAGAACATGATTTGAAGATAAGAAATAAGAATTGTAGAAGAATAAATAGAGGGACTGAGAAGATTAATTGATTACGTAAAATGATTATCCATTTTCAATTATGGTGGTGTTTGCAAATGCTTTTTGAAAGTGATTATGCGGTTTTTTTTGTTCATAATCTGTTTTTAGGTGTTTGCAAAATCAACTTTTGCTTTTGCTTCTCTTAAAATAATCTACTTTAAGCTATTTTTTTAAAAGCACCCCTAACCCTGCTTTTTCAATTTTAGTTCATTTTCCGAAATATTTGCAAACACCCCAAACTTTTAGAAATAAGCACTTAAAACTAACTTAAATCACAATCACTAACTTCTGCTTTTAAATAATCATTTGCAAACACAATGACTAATTAAAATTAAATCACCCACTAACTCACTAATTTAATTAACTTCTTTCACTAACTAAAAATCATTAAATATAGGGTAAATTACAAACACCCCTGAGGTATGGTCAAATTACAAAAATCCCCCTCTTGTTTGGATAATTACATCTACCCCCCTCAACTATGATTTTTTCTTACACCTCCACCCTTATTGTGCCAAATTCAACATAATCATCTAGATTCCGGGTAATGAGAGCAAATTTGTACTCGTTTTGTGTAAAAATACAGTTTCCGATGCACCGGAACTCTATATACAAGCTAAAAATCACATATTATGATCATCTTACTCCATAATGTAGAGTTTGAATGGGATAAAACGGGTACACAAGTGATAATATTCCATATAATCTCGAAGATTCCACTAAATTTGAGGAGTTGAGGGGTGGTTGTAATTATCCAAACAAGAGGGGTGTTTTTGTAATTTGACCATACCTCAGGGGGTGTTTGTAATTTACCCTTAAATATAATGCACATATCACGTTATTAACAAAAATAAAAAACTGAGGTGAGATCTAGACCTTTGAGTATCAAGACTCAAGCACCTAGAATTCGTCGTCTCAACTCTGATGCACCGGATTTGAAAAAAACCCTGCTCAAAGTTTGTGGTTTGGGGAAGAACACATATTGAAATTTTGATTTTGGGGAAAAACGTTTTGGGAGATAACAAATTGACGTGTAATTTGTTGTTCTTTGATTATGATTATTTTAATATTTATATTTCAAAATGTATGTGTTAGTTATTTGATTTAAATATCTCCAAAAAAAAAGTTATTTGATTTAAACGTATAAGGTTAGTCACGTAATTTAAATGAAGAGTATGATTTGTGTACGAATGAGTAAGATGTGTTTTTACTAGGTTCGTACCAATTTAGAGTGTCATATTGATGGATGGGATTGAATTTTAACTGATTTGTACGCACGAGATTGATTATTTTACTGTTCGAGAAATACAACCCTTCCGGACTCTAAACAAACCCATTTTTTCAGTGTGATTTGTTGAATAAGATCATCTCTCATCCATCACCAATCTGGTACATGCCGATTATCGAACGGGTAATTTGGTTCGATTTTTATATATACTAGCATTTTCCCCCGTGGGATGCACGGGATATTATTTAAATAATGAAAATGATTAGTCAATTGAATGCATAATAAGAAAATATAGTACCTAATATAGTAACATTTAATAATGTAGTATTATTCATATTTTATATAACATTAGTTTTTTTTTAAATCTTACATATTAAGATTTATAATCCAAATAAATAGACTAGGATTTAACAAATCGAATTTCTAGCTTTATCTCTTAATATTGTTGAAAATTATAGTTAAAAAATTAGTGCAGAAAAAATATTAAAAATAAATAATTACATAAGTAGCAATAGGATTCTTCACGGGTCAGTTTTAATTTTGATAATTGTTACAAATTATAATTATAAATTAGTAGTGAAAAATATTAAAAATAAATAATTACAGAAATACCATTAGAGTTTGTTAGGGTTGCCCACCGTTTCTTTCTTTATATATATATATATATATATATATATATATATATATATATATATATATATATATATATATATATATATATATATATATATATATATATATATATATATATATATATATATATATATATGAAATATTAATATTTAAACTAAAATTAATTAAAAAAAATTAAAAAAAAATCAAAATTTCAAATATTTTTAATAAAATTTTGATAATTCGGTTATACATCGAACCGAACGATAAACAATATGAAATTTTGGCGTACGGACAATTTCGGTACGATTTAACTGAATGGACACCACTAAATTTACCAAGTAGAGGAATTTTTTCGTAAGACAATACATAGTTTATGAGTGACTGTAATTACTCAAACAAGATTATTTTTATTTTTCTTCATAATTTGATTTTATCTCAGGGGATTGTTGTAATTTGCACTTTATTATATTCCAAGGTTGAAAATTGCTTAAATGATTTAAGGGGCACAAAATGCGAAAAGTCAATATTTCAAGGGTGCAAAAGTAAATTAAGCCTGAAATTGACACCTGCCCTATTTGCCAATTGCCCCCAATATATATAACTCGCCCTTTGTTTGTGAGTAAGAATCATAAATTAAAGCTGTTTGTTGCAACAATTTATTTAGAAATTATTTGTTGAAAACTGATAAGCGATGAGTTCTAGCTTAAAAACTCAACTTGAAAACCGGGCGATGAGTTCGTCAAAAAAAGCTCCTATAGGTAAAAAAAATTCTCCCTGCATTGAGTTTTCCTTGTGTGATTTTAACGAATTTTGTTGCCTTATGAAAACTAAGGCTCTGTTTGTTTGCACGATTTTTGAGTTTTTATTTTATTTCGTTGTGTTTTAATGATTACATATGTGTTCCTGTAAGATATGCCCTACTCAAAAATTAAACCTTTTTAATGAACAAATATGTGTTCTTTGGGGAAAAAAAAAGCAATCTGTGTATAGTATTTGATTTATTTGAACAACTTTCAACATGTATAGCACGAGGTGCTCGTTCGAGCGGATCGAGGCTGACAAAAAAAAATTATGTGCTATATATATCAGCAATATTGTTCTTGTACGTTTCTTGTTTGACCGACGTATATCTCTCGAATATAACATGCTGCCGTTTCTATGCTGTATTATAGTGTTATTTTAGTCCACCAAAGTTGCACGTGTTAACTATCTCCACCTTTTTTACTGGTATGTTTGCTAGAACAGGAGCCAGGTAGAGTTATGAAACTGTCGTACGAGAAGATGGTCCTCTTAACCGACAATTTTTCCGAGAGCAACTGCATCGGAAATTTCCAATTCGGCAAACTTTATTATGCAAAGATAGTGTACCCTGGAATAACAGCATATTTTATGGTGAAAAAATGGGAAGTCCCGGAAAATTGTGATTACGATCCAGGAGATAACGATCTTCGACTAATGGTATGTCGTTTTTTGCACTGGCATTTTCGTAAATACTTCTTTGCCTAGCACATGTGACATTAATTGTATTGTATATTTGCTTGTGCAGGACGAAATGATTTTACTTCGCCATGAAATGTTTATTAACCATCCAGGCATGTTAAAGCTGTACGGATTCTGCTTCGATCGAGGCCTTATTGGTGCTGTTTACGAGTTCAAGCCGTTTGACTCGCTTTTTAACCTCATTCCTAAAGGTATTGTATTTTTTCATTAATCTCGAAAGCTGAAGAGAACCTAATTGTTAGTTTGAATTCTCGAATAATTTGGTGAAAACATCATTTTTTAATATTCCGTTTATGCTCGGGTCAATCCATATCCTGCTTCTACTTTGAACATGGTAGTTTTGGAGTTGGGGTGTTTACGTATCAAGTTTCAAACATTTGTAAAAAAATACGGAAAAAAAAAAAAAATAAATAACCGAAAAATGTGTTTGTTAGATGGTTTCACTTGGCTGCAAAGAATCAAAGCTGCCATCGGTTGTCAGATATCTGCATCTCGGAAAGTCTTCATATTACCAACCTTTCGTACTTCACAATCTTGATGCTGCACACGTAGTTCTCGATGAGGTGTGTTTTATATATATATATAATTATATATATCAAATCAATTATTATACTTGTATGAAGAAATTAGTAACCAACCACTTATGCTGTCATGCAGGACTATAATCCCAAGCTGTGCGACTTTGGTTGTACGAGCGGTGGAATTTTCCTGAATAAGAAAACATATTCGGGTCATAATTCCCGTAGTTGCTATGGGTGCATCGACATTGCACTATGCAGTACAGGTAATCTTTGAAGTTCGAATTAAGTTTTTCTAATTTGATAGATTTTCATCCGGTTGTTTCTTCTCGATCGGTCTTCTTTATAAAATTATTAGTCTCACGATGATTTCGTCACAGGTGATTGGTCGATCAAACAAGACGTATTTGCGTTTGGGGTTATACTTCTCAGTTTGATATCAAAGAGGGTTTACACAGACGAAGACAGTGAAGCTGGTGCACCGTTTGTTTTTGAATGGGCCTTCACGGAATACGAAGAAGCCCTCGAATCGAAAAGTGACGTGAAAGAAACCGAGTTTTCACTTGTCCACAAAAGTCTAGCTGCTGAAGATGATTTTTGTACAGTTGATGGGCATAAGATAACTACGCTAGCGCTCGAGTGTGTAAATCGAGATGAAGATGAACGGCCCACAATGAAGCAAGTCGTGAAATCTCTCCTCAAACTTGAAATCGTTAAGCAAAATGCCGACTTCATTGGTGTGAACAAGGTGCTGAATTCCTTTGAAAATGGCATCTAATGTATTGATGTTCATTTGGTGTTTCTTATAAATTAATGATGAATGAATGATTGAACGAAGCTATCTATTGTAAAATAAATAATGCCTTGGTGTTTATTTTTTATTTGATAAGTTTTATATTATTTATTTTGACTTTCTTATTTTTTTTCATCTACGAAAGTAAAAAATGAAATCATGTAAAATAAAAAATACAGTAGTTATAGGGCTTTAACTTATGGGGTAAATTACAACCACCCTTGAGGTATGGTTAATTTACGGAAAAACCTCTCTTATTTGGATAATTACATCTACCCTTCAACTATAATTTTTTCTTACACCTCCACCCTTATGGTGTCAAATTCAAGATAATCATCTAGATTTTGTGGAATGTACTCTAGTTTGTACTTATTTTGTGTAAAAATACAGTTTCTGATGCACCACAATCTGATATATATACGAGCCAAAAAACACATATTATGATCATGTTGCTTCAAAATGTGGAATTCAAATGGGATAAAACGGATACAAAAGTGATAATATTCCACATAATTTTGAAGATTCCACTAAATTTGAAACCGTAAGGGTGGACGCATAAGAAGATTTATAGTTAAGGGGGTTGGTTGTAATTAACCAAACAGGAGGGGAGATTTTATAATTTGACCACACCTCGGGGGTGGTTGTAATTTACCCTTAACTTATGCAATTTTGTAGCTATTAATGGTATTAGTTGGGGTACACGTTCAATTACAGAAACGTGTGATTATTCACGAAAACTATGTAAATTAGAATTTTTTTTTTTTTTACGAAAGAAAATACATGTATGCAATTTTATTTGAGAGTGATAAAGACCACATGGTAGACTAAATAGAAATTTTATTTAGTATTTTCAAAGTTGTAAACTTAAAAGAAAATTACAAGAAAATTAAAAAAATACTAACTAAATTTCATTTAGTCATTTAGTAAATAATTTGTGACTTGTAAATTGTCTTTTTACCTTTTAGAAATTTGTCCTCCAGTGCTTAGTTGATTTTCATAAATAATTACAGAAGTAAATTGACATAGTTACAATTTAAGGAATCGGGGAAACAACTTTGAAAATACAAAATAAATTTTTATTTAGTCCTTTGCAGTAGACAAGTTTTAAAAAGTCATAGACCCCGTTAGACTAGACACGGCCATGGGCCGGTTTTGGCCCCGGAACCGGCCCGTTGACGACCCGGCCTAACCTGTTGACCGGTGAACCGGCCCGGGACCCGTGAACCGGTCCGTCGTCCCCGGAATGGGCCCGGTTCTATGAAATGGTGAACCGTGAACCGTCGGGTCGGCCCGGTGGTTCACCCGGATTTAAAAAAAAAAAAAAAATTCAAAAAAATTCAAAAAAGAAAAAACAAATAACGGCTAGTGAACCGGCCGTTATTTGTTTTTTTTGGAATTTTTTCCCCCCCAATTTTTCCTATAAATACCCTCAGACCCCAATTTTTCCTATAATTTACTTATTCATCAAATATTTCAAAAAACATAGAAAAACAAAAATTCTAATTTTCCGGGCCGACCCGGAACCGGCCCGGATAGGCCCGGAACCGGCCCGAACCGGTGGGCCGACCCGGGCCGTCGAACCGTGCATATTACGGGCCGGTTCCAGTTCCGGAAAAAGTGAACCATGAACCGGCCCGGAACCGGCCCGTGGCCGTGTCTACGTTAGGCTGAACTTATTTAGAACATTTTATATGCTCTTACATTTGATAAAATGTTTTAGGAGTTCATAAGTTGTTAGCAAACAACTTAGGTCACTCTAAATTTGTATATGACCCCAACTAAGTGTAATTAGGTGCTCCAGGTTGTTTTTTAAAACTAGGGGTGTGAATGAGCCGAGCTCGCCTCTTTTGGCACGCTCGAGCTCGAGCTCGAGCCCAAGCTCATTTTTTTTTTTGTTTTTTTTTTCTTATTTTATTATTATTAAAAATTATTTTTAAAAAAATTAAAAAATAAACAATAAATTGTAATTATATTTATTTTTTAATATTTTTATTTATTTCTATAATATTTTAAATTATTATACATTATTTAAATAAAAATAATATTCAAAAAAATAATAAATAAGGCTCGTTAGCCGGCTCGTGAGCTCGTGATTCTCACATACTTTTACTTTTCTCCGGAGACAACTCCATCCTTTTTTCTTACCTGAATGATCATAAACCAATGCATGACAAAAATGATTATTCCGATTTTTTCAAAATGTAACAAAAAATTTCGATAATAAGCCATCTAATATTTTGTACTATAAAAAATTAAACTCAAATAATTTGTACTATTATCATAAAACCGCGATTCTTTCAAAATTACTCAATTTCTCTTCTAGATCTTCACATGCAAGGAATTATCTAGCTAATTATTCTCAACAAAATCTTAACAAGTATAAATAAAATTAGAACTTGAAATAATAAATTGCACGTAAATTAAACATGTTGACTTTGTTGTGCATGTTTTTGGACAGGAACCCCATCACCTGGAAAACAGATATTTTTAGTTTGGAACCATCCTACTCCAGATGATTACCGAATGTAATACAATTAGAGAAGTTATTCGAAGATCAACTTCAGAAGGGAAGTACTGGCAAACACAAGAAGAAAGAAAAAAACACTACAAATTCGTCAATTACTTCTCACATCTCACTTGAAGTGACATCTCTTTTGGAAAAAAAAGAATGTGTTGTTAACAAATCATTATTGCGAACAGGATGCGACGAGGGTGATGAGCATGAGATTAGCAATCTGGGTAAAACTTGCACAAGTAACCGTTCCGAAAACCGTCCAACAATCGATGAGATTATTTCAATACTCGAGCGAATGAGAGAGAAGAAGCCGATGAGCAAGAGCAAGATGAAACAAGCAATGTGGTGATTTTCTCTCGAGTATTAGCAATTGAAGACTTGGTGTATTTAATTTGTGGAGGCTGCATATGTGTGATGATGGCAATTTGGAGATTTGTTGCACTCTTATTGTTTTGCAAGGCAAATTACGGTCACCTCTTTGAGGTATGGTCAAATTACGAAAAAACCCCTTTGTTTAGGTAATTGCAGTCACCTCCTCCTTTTAAATATTTTTACCTAAAATTTATGTATTTTGGTTATTTATCAAACCAAATCGTATATTCAGTTCGGTAAACATTAGACACGGCCACGGGCCGGTTCCGGGCCGGTTCATACCGGTTCATGATTCAGTTTTTCCGGAACCGGAACCGGCCCGTAATATGCACGGTTCGATGGGCCGGGTCGACCCGCCGGTTCGGGCCGGTTCCGGGCCTATCCGGGCCGGTTCCGGGTCGGCCCGGAAAATTTGAAATTTTTATTTTATTTTTTCTTACTTTTTTTTTTTGAAATATTTGATGAATAAGTAAATTATAGGAAAAATTGGGATGTGAAGGTATTTATAGGAAAAAAGGGGGGGGGGGGGGGGGAATTCAAAAAAAAGCAAATAACGGCCAGTTCGGGCCGGTTCACTAGCCGTTATTTGCTTTTTTTTTTAATTTTTTTGATTTTTTTTTTTAAATCCGGGTGAACCGCCGGGCCGGCCCAGCGGTTCACGGTTCACCATTTCATAGAACCGGGCCCGTCCCGGGGACGACGGGCCGGTTCACGGGTCCCGGGCCGGTTCACCGGTCAACGGGTTGGGCCGGGTCGTCAACGGGCCGGTTCCGGGCCCAAAACCGGCCCATGGCCGTGTCTAGGTAAACATTATGAAATGTTGGCGTACCGAAATTTCGGTTCGGTGTTACTGATTTAACATCCCTAAATTTACATCTAGAGGGGTATTCTCGGTTAGGTGTTACCGATTTATGTACCAATACATGAATTATGAACAGGAACATGAGACCAAAGCAAAAGTGACATATACAGCTTTAGCGTAATTCTCGTGCAGATGGTTATGAAGTGTAACGATTTTGGAGATGTAGACCTCAATGCAACTATAGATGAGCTAATGAAATCTATGGGTGGGAAAAAAGGAAAAAACAAAAAGAAGGAAAAGAATACTTCAAACAAGCCAAACTACCATATAGTTTGCAATCTGGAATCAGTACTCTCGGGATAGCTTGCACGTAAACCAACGTCCACAAATCGACGCGATCATATCCACACTTGAGGACTAGATGAAAAACAACGGAATGCTGAAACACTTGTCAAAGTTGACGACATAGGTCGCACAAGTGGGATCTTTTGATGACTATTAATTGTGCTTTCGTTTTGGTTTTTTGTTTTTTGTTTTTTTTACTTTTTCTCTAGTTTTCTACTGTTGTGTTTTCTTTGTTTCGGGCACTAAACTATGGACCTGATGTACTTGATTTTCATTCCTCGAACAATTATGTCGGAATCTCGAACATTATGTCTGAGTGGACTATTTCTAGTTTTCTTCTGTTTTGATTTTGAGCTTCATCTTTGTCTTAGTTTCAAGAAAGACGAAAAATTGAATAATCATAAGGCATAACTCACTCCTTGAGCATCGGCTTCGAATTAGTGGGCCAACAAAACAAGCAAACCACAAAAAGGGTCTACAGTCAAAAGAAAAAAAGGATTTTTATGTCACCATAGTTATCTGTACAATTTATTTTCAAGCAACTATCTTGAATATAGAGTATGCATCAGACTGCAGCACTAAAAGATACTTAGGAGAAGGAGAAGAAAGTATGACCAAGCAAAAAGCACTACATTACAAAATTGGCCTTCATTAATAATCTATCAAGATCAATCTGAGTCTATCAACTGAGGCTCGTTTGGTTGTTGGGGAATTAACTCTTATCAACTAAATAGGTGAAATTTGTTTGATATTTGGTATTTCCAATAACTTGTTGGTCGGCTTGTAAATATTATGTTATCATGATTTATCTTGCCTCATAAGCATGTTTTTTTGTTGGGTTTTTCAAAGTCTAATAAACCGATTTTATTACATTATTTAGTCTTATCTTGACAAGTCATATCTTATCAACCAAACGAGGCCCAAGAGTGCACGTCTAATCACACGATGTTGTGACACAAACGGAATATGAATGATTTTTTATTACATTTCGTACATGACATTGATTAATATAATTGTGACATATGTATTCGTGATATATAGGTCAAATGAATCACTTCATTAAGCTTTTAGAACAGAG